ATAGTTTATTTTAAAAGTTATATGACTTGTACACTTATTTTTTTATAGTATTATATTTTTGGGATATATATCGCTAACGAAAATAGTCATTTGCCAAAATAGGATATATATCGATTATACTCATAATTGATCATTATCATTTAAAGATTAACCAGATATATATCGATTATTATTATAATCGATGATAATCAGCAGGTGGGATTATAATCGATATATATCTATGTGGTTAGTAATCGATATATATCTCTATATAAATTTTGCTAATGAGAGCAAGATAATTCTTTACTTTTAGTAGCATATATCAAGTTACTTAATACAAGGGTGGGTATACATAAGAATCAGCAAGTTTCTAAAACTTTTTGTGAGGAAGTTTTGTAGTTAGAGCACAAACAATGGATTGATTTTTTGTTTAATTCAGCAATTTTAGTTGCATATAAATTAGATCCATGGTATCAAGGTGAAAAACTTAATCCACAAAAATGGAATCATATTATAGAAGAAGAAATTATATGGCTGCTGAATTAGAAAATGAAAATAAGGCTTTATCAGAATTCACAGAATATATTGGTAAAACAGGTAAATTTGCAAGGCCTCATTTATGGGGTGCTATAAAAGAAAACCCTCAAAATTGGTGAAATTTAGTAAAAGCCAAATATCCGATTCTTAGTTCTGTTGCTTTTAAAGTTCTTTCTATTCCAGCAACCTCTGTTGCAAGTGAAAGAAACTAGTCATCATTTGGCTTTATTCACTCAAAATTGCGTAATAGATTAAATAATGAGCAGGTAGAAAAAATTGTTTTTATTATTGGAATCTTCAAATATTGCAAAGTTTAGATTGGCCATTATCAGTAAGTGATTTTAAAAAAACTGATGCTATTATCAAGAAAGAAATTAGCAACAATATGATAGATAATGAAGTCAATACTAGCGAAAATTTGATATTCGAAGATGAAAAATGGATGTTGAATGAAAATATGTCTTTTAAATATAATGAAAAGAATTTTGAAGAAGATGTTGATGATTTTGAAAAATACTCAGAAAAGAGTTTTGAAAAAAATTTTGAAAAACAATTCAACAAAAAATATCATAAAGATTATGAAAATTCTAAGACGTATTCTGAGAAGGATTTTGAAGAGTATTACAAAAGCAATTTTACAACCAACTTGGAAGATAATTATTAATGTTTGTATCATTATTAGTTTATTGTCGAATTTGTTATTACTATATTAAAAGCTTAACTAACTAATTAGCTTTTAGGTTATTGAAATTTTATGAATTATAATAAGTTTTTATGCAGTCAATTATTACAATCTTTAAGGTCACAAAAATTTTTTTTAAAAAATTTACCTTAATATATATAATGCACTTATAGTGCTTTATTGAGTATATACATATAATAATTATTTTACTTATTATTTATATTTTTTAAGGAATTTTAAGGTTAATCGAAGACCCTTATTTAGAAAGATCGTAAATTTAAAAAAGTTTATTATTTTATAGTCACTATCTTATGACTATATATTATTTTATTGTTATTATCTTTATATTCTTATCTTATGGTTATATATCATACATTTTATTATATCTAAAAATAACAAGTGCAATCATGTATTAAAAGAATTAAAATGATTTGTGATTATGAAAGAGGTGACAGCTAAATGTTTATAAAGAAACAAGAATTATCATAATATAAGTTTATTCTTTGTTAAATCATTATTGTTATACTTAAGATAGCTGCGATTTGGGAGAATTTCAGAGCTATTATACATTACAATTAGTTATGATTGTTGACTATTACTTTTACCAGACTATATTATATCTATTTGATCAAATAATTATATGCGATATGATTGATTTAATATATGTAATAATAATAAATACTACGTAAAACAAATATATAATATACTATCTAACAAAAATGTTAGTTATATGCATTTTGAGTATGTAGTCTTGAGTTTACTTATTTTCCCACCACTTCTGATTGGCTGTACTAATTATTCAATTGTCGGGTTATTTATATTATTTATTAATCAAAAAAAAAATTTCATATAAAAATTTGTGCTTTTGGTATTTTGCCCTTAGATTATGTTTAGAAAATTAAAATTTTACAAGAAATTTTTTTTATTAGTATGCAGAAGATAGTTTCATAGATTGATTTAGAGTTATAAGTGATTTAATATTTTTTATATTTTCTTTGCATTTCTTTTACATTACACCTGATCGTGAAACTTGATTGGTGCCAAGAAGTGAATTTTTAGTATGGCCAATCAAAAGTGGTGGAAAAAATAATTGCTCCCTGTAGTCTTGACATTCATGACACAAAAATTATTATTAAATCAAAATTTATAATTTAAATATATCATTTTGTTTAATAACTTTAGAATTTTTTATTTTAAACTTAATTTTTATTGGCCAATCAGAATAAAAGTTTATTATGCTATATAATGGTTTTATAATTTAGACTAATTTTAGTATATACTATATATTTGTAACTTATATCACAAACATGTAAGTTACAATGTAAGTTACAATATTAGTTACATTGTCAGGTAAGTTATACCAATCCTACTTCTTACTCTTCTTTCTGTTACCAATACAATTAAACTAGTTTTTTACTATACTAAACTCTTTGTCCTTCTACTCAAACAATTTACCACTTAATCTTTAATTCTCTTAACTACATTTTAAATACTACTGTCTTTGACATGTCTGCTAATTCTATTTCTAATCTATATTATAAAATTCTTACACTTAACAGTTTTAAACTGCACAAATTTTCTCATATACCATCTCTTATTTTTACTTTATCTGGCTTAGTCCCTATCAACCTTGTTTCTACTATTCATAATACTTCTATTCCTTATCATATAACTATCTCTTTTTTTATTAAATTTCTTCTTTATCTAAACCAACAAATATATAAACAATTACAGATCTCATATTGTATTTCACATTCAGCACAGTCTTCAATTACATCTTTTATAAACTCAACTCATAATTCTCTTTCTAGTCTATTATTATCTCCTATCTCAATACTACAAATTATTACTAAAATTGATTTTTGAACTATCCAATGAATTAAATATAATACTTCTCTCTCATATATTTTTACTAAACCCAAATCTAGGTGAGCTTTGGCCACTCTTGTAGATTTAGGTCACAGATTATATATCTGAGTCTTTATTCTTTATATGTAATTTAAAAGCAAGCTTTTCTTTGTAAAAATTTTAATTAAATTTTAATAAAGTTAAAGGCATGGTCTCATCATTAATATTAAAAAAAAAAAAAAATAAGATGGATAAATGAAAATGAGATGCTTTACTAAATTGAAAATATTTAGACAAATTATTCAAGAATTTCAAATCTATGATTATTATTAGTCTTAGATTTATTTCAGCTCATATTGCTATTCTGTAAAATAGCATTTTGATAAAAAAATACTAATATTGTTATTATACCTGGAGGTTTAATATCCTTTTACAACCTTTGGATGTTTCAATGAATAAATTATTCAAAACAAAAATATTAAAAAAAATAAAAAATAAAAAAAATTGAAATAGAATTTTTTTTATATATTTTTATTAGATACAACAATATTATAATAAGTAAATTATGTAAATACAAATCACTAACTTTTTCTAACAATCAGTTGTACCAAATTTCTGCTACAAACATTTGATCCTTACTCAATATTTTATTAAGTAAACCACTTCTAAACATCTAAATAAAGTAGTTTTTAATACAATTTTATACTTAGACAGCTAAGTTTTATATCTCTAAGTTTCTTTTTAATAGAAATATAGTTAACAAACTAAAAAATGCTTCTAGTCAAGTTTTTTTTAATTTTACTAGGTTAACTGCTCTGGTAACTTAGAACAAATAGAAAGAGCTTATTGCCAGCTTTATTTTGATATATAAATTATCAAAAATAGCCTAAAATTGACTAATTTATCAAAATATTCTTTTAAACTCTCTTGCAAAATTTTACATTTTATTTTTACAAGTTTTTTTTTATTTTTTTGAAGGGCTGTCTCTGGTCTGCCTTATCCAAACCTGTCCAAATAGAATTACTAATCAATATTATACTATCTAAACTAATTTGTATTGTTTACAAACTTGTATTCTGAGGATGGTGATCTTAGTGTAGTGGTTGGATTGTCATTCTCCAAGTGGCAGGTCTAAGGTTCAAATCTCACCTATGACAAAATTTGATAATTATATCTGTGTTATGGTAAACTGTCTCTTGTTGATCAGTTGGATTTAGGTATCTGTAATCTTGAGTACAACCAATTGGGTTCTACTCATCATTAGAAGCCCGAGGCATCTATGCAAAGTGTAACATTATACATACATAGAAGAATATTAATAACCAGTTTATATAAGACTTCAGTGCAAACCCACAATAAGGCCACCAGATGTAGAAGACCAAGAAACTGAGAAGACAGAAGCCTACTTGGAAATTCCTGAGTAAAGAGTAGCACAAGCCTTCGATGGTGCTATCAGACTGATGGAAGCCCAAGAAACCCCAATAAGAAATAAGTAGATATGCAACTGGATAGAAAGATGTATAAAGGAGCATATGACCAACCAGGCTGCCAGAATCACTAGAGAAAAAGGATACTAAGGTATACCATATCAGTCTATCTGGATTGGAAGTTTGGGGAGTCTGTCAGATTTTGAGTTGGATAGTAGAAGGATGAAGAAAAGAAGTCAGAATGATAAGTACCAGGGTTTGGATGAACTTTACAAAGATAAAAATAGTGTAACATAGTAGTTAAATAGGTAATCCCTGTAACTGCAAGTGTTAGGTAACTGTAGAGTGTTATATAAATAGATCAGCTATGTGTGAGACACAGAAGACTCTAGTAACAATGCTTCTGAGGATATACTATATAAAATAAGATATGGAGTCCTAAAAGAAATGGGTAAAAGTATCTAGACCTTCTTGACTGATGGCTGTATCAGAGATGATCTAGTGACACAGTAAGGATTGCAGTACAGAGGGTTTAAATAGGCAATGCTTCTAGTTGGGTTGCAGGTATGACAGCTAGTGTAGAACTATTGGTGGACTACTTAAATTAGATACCAAAAATGTACATGTGGCAAGTTGTACTCTCTAATATAAGGTGACTTCTTTGAGGCTTCGACTGTGAGTCCCTATGTTCAATTTACTAAATAAAACCCTAGGCCCAAAAGAGGCTAGTTTAATATCCAAAAAAAAAAACCTTGTATTCTTGTAATTTTACACAACTTTTTTGTTCAATATCAATCTTGACTTACAGATCTGCAAGTGTTACATACTTTGTATAATACTTATTTAGCATACTCTGTGTTTGTCATATCTCCTTATCTATTATATTCTGTTATTTGTCATATCCTGTTATTTGTCACACTCTTATTTGTTACACTCCTATATCTTTCAGATCATCTTATATTTAAGATCCTTATAATCTACTTTATTTTTATCTTTTAAGCAAAAATGCTAACTCTTATTAATAAAGATCCAGATTTTTATGATATTAACTACTATTATAGCAAATATAAAAACTGCCATGATGTAAGAATGATTAAAGAAAAACCTCAATCTTTACAGGTACTTCTTGCAGATGTCAATTTAACTAATTGTAACACTTCTGTTAAAAAACAGTATTACTTTAAAGTTTCTTTACAATCTACTATTGCTACATGTTTTTGTGAAGCATATCATACCAGTTTTACTTCTAAATTCTACAGAATTTCTTACTCTACATCTCTTGGTCAACCCACATCTTAAACTACTTCTACTATATCTACAAAATAATTTACAAAAATTTCTGATAAATTGCTTGCTTTACCTAACTCTAAATAACAACAATCAAATATCTTTTCGACTAAACTTTGTATTTTATTTTCTGATTTCCAAATAGGTTCTATTCTAACTACAATTATTGTACACTCTTAATATTATCATACATGCTTTATATATAGAATTAAAAACATCTTTTGTGTTATAATTAAACAAAGCAATCATGCTTCAAACTATGCTATTTGCACTATTTTTAAAAATAATTTATTACATAGATTCTGTATTCCTAACCTATTAAATATTAAACTTAAACCTCTTATACAAACTTTATCTTTGACATTCCAACAACAAATAACTACAGCTATAATCAAATCAAAACTAATTAGCCTAAATATTTAAACTTCTTCTTCTACTTTTCAAAAACAAATCATCTTTTCTCTTACTCTTAAACAAAAAATTATTCTTGTTCTTATTAAACTTTAACAAATAAAATCTGCTAACAAAATTCAACTTTTTATTTTTTATTTCTCCAAAAAAGAAAAAAACAACAAATAACAAAAACAAAAGAAAAAAAAAACCAAAAAGATATTAGCAATGATTTTGACTAGTTTAAAGAATATCCAGTTACTGACTTAATGAAAAATAACATCAAACTTAATAATCCTATTGCTTAACAACTTCTTACTTTTATTAAACTATACCTTATTAATATTTATCTAGAAAAAATTATCTAATCAGCATCTGACAAAACTTCTGAATCAAAACTTAATTACAAATATCTAGTTAAAATTTTAGCAAACAAAAAATCTAAATTTTTAACTAATCTCATCTATGAAGCAAATCCTTCAATTAACAAATCAATATCTATTTTATTTGAACTAATTCATTTTACTTTTATTTCTCTTCTTTAAGAATTTATTAAACTCTTTTTATCAAACTAAATTATCCAAAAATCTTCACTTCTTATAATCTATTTCACCATATACTACTACTAACTGAAAAACAAGTAGCTCTTAATTTGGCTCATTTATCTCTTGTTTTTTATAATAAATACAAACCTATTTATATAGAAAAATTTTATAAGAACCTTAAAATCTACTCTATTTATTTCAAACTATACTATAATATTAGTAAAGATAATATCAACCAACCACTTATTAAGATTCAAAATGATAACAAATTTAATATTAACATTTTATTTAATATTTCTAAAAAACAATTGCTTCAAACATTTCAAATTCCTTCTTTAAAAAATTATTTATCTGAATTCAAAGCCTGGTTTAAAAAATTCTTTAAAGATTTACAAATGACAATTCTATAACATTTACCAAGAAAAAACTTTTAACTATATTAAATACTAAATTGCTCTTAAGTATTAAATAAATGCAAAGCATTTTTATCTTTAAATTTAAAATTACTTCTATTCACTCTTTACAAGAACATTACAAACTATGTTTTAAAGATGCCTTATATCATATCCACATATGTATAGTTGAAAACTATATAATATTATCTAAAGATACAGAACACAATATTAAAAACTTATCTTCTCTCTTTTTTACTGATTCATATAATCACTTTTTAGCTTTGACTAATACAGAATCTAAACCAAAATGGATATATTCTGTTCTTAACTTTCTATATTTAACAAAGACCAACTGAATGTTACTACCTTTAACAAACCTATACTTATTATCTTTTTCTGTCAACTTGCTTTTAAAACTTAAAATAATTTTACTAAACTCAACAATACTGAGACCAACTAAGCATAAGAAAGCTATTATTTTTATAGTTTTTTTAAAGCTTATCTTAGAGATACTGCTACAAATAACCAAATTAGTAACCACCATCCACACCAAATTATTGATAAAATTACTAGCAAACCTATTAGTACTGAGTACCTAGCTCAAGTACTTACATACTTTCATATTCTTAAAATTAATAATCTCTTTATTTTATCAATTAGAGAATCTTATAATAAAAAATTCTATTCTAAAGCTTAACAAATTTTACATTCCAAATTAAACTTCAAATTTAATTTACCCAAAACCAAACGTATCTTTTCTGATTTAAATACTTTTACCAAATCAACACCTTCAACTTCCAAAGAAAATAATAATTCATCTGAGCTTTCTGACCATGATATTATTATGTCAGAGTCAAATACTAATAATAATAATCAAAATACAGAACAAAATTTACAACCAAATTATATAACAACACTTTTTCATAACTCTTTTCAATAAACTTTTTTGTAAAGCACATAAATGCAGTTACTGCTTCTAAGATAATAATGTCCTTTACACTTAGTAGACTATTCTTAGAAAAGAATAATGTAAGTAAATAGGTAGCTAAGTTCATTTACACAGAGGACCAAATTAATAATGGCCAAAAACACATAGAAAACAGGCTATAGTATTCTGCACAGCTGTGCAAGCTAAGCATATGGTAAGCAAATCTACAAAAAAACTCTTTACTTTCTTGAATTCTATTTCATTATCTCATATCAAGGAAGAATTACAAGACTCATTTTACAATACATTATATAATTCAGACTTATGCTATAACCTGTGGTTAGCATTTTTGAACCTACCTCTATTTCACATTTTCAAACACTTAGCTCTTTTTTAAA